ACAATTAGAACGAGTGACAACGTACTAACGACGAACTGGACGTACTACGAACGGAACCGTCGTACTTCAATCCTACTAGGGACGTTTTAACAACGAGTTGAACTGTCTGAGGACGTGTTGAGAACGAGGTAGAACTAATTGCAAACGGGTTTAAACTGATTAAGAACGTATTTGACACTGCTTATGAACGAGTTAGCAAAAATATAGCTATCACACCAAACAAGTTGCCACTACGTTCTTCAAAACTGGTTTTAAACTGTGTGCGAACGGAATGAACGTAGCTGCAACTTTCTAAGGTCTATTTATGAACGTTCTCAGACGGGAATGTGATTTTAGAATTTTGAATCGATTCAAAATTCGATGGCGACCATACCGTTCTGTAATCAGGTCATGTTGACCTTCTAGGCTAAGGGACGCGTTCTACTACGTTGCACACCGACGTGGTGCGACCTGAACGAACTGCGAACGAGATGGACGTATTGAAGACTGTTTAAGAACGAAGAAGCTAATTATTTCAGACATATTTCCCGACCACAGCCAGATTGAGCCCGTTTTACGACGTTTTCGTAGGACTGGCAAGAACGGGTAAGAACTAGATTGGTGTGATAGGGGGGTTAGGGACGCGTTATACGACGTTGCAAGCCGATGTGGTGCGACCAGAACGAACTGCGAATGAGATGGACGTATTGAAGACTGTTTATGAACGAAGTAGCTAATTATTTTTGACATATTTCCCGACCACAGCCAGATTGAGCCCGTTTTACGACGTTTTCGTAGGACTGGCAAGAACGGGTAAGAACTAATTTGGTGTGATAGGGGGGTTACTAGTAAGTTTTTTTCAGTTTGACATTACATTTAAATGTGGCATATGTCCTGAACTTTAGTTTGAAATTCACGATTCGCCATATCTTATCACTCTCACGAATTCTAAGCAAAGTTCTTGTACGTGTATTACATATTTGGATTGAAACAATGGTTCTAAATTGCGATGAGGAGGCGTGCAAGAAATCGCTTCTTTGTATCAGATCCTTGTTTGGGAATATTGAGTGTTTCCTTGTGACTGGTTCTTTTTTTGATTTAGTTTTCTTAACTTTTTAATCTTTCCCTTTTTGCACCTAAGCCGAACTGAACAATTGAACATCTTACCTTTTCGAAAAATGATTTCAGCTGTTCGTCTGAGAGCTGTCCGGGTTTTTTCTTTAAAACCTGTTCTGGTATTTTTGTAAATACATCTGGGTTCGGGTAATCCTCGGCTGCCATGATGGGCAATTAGACTTCCGCTTTCTTCGTCCTATTGTTCAAACCTGCTTTGAATTTCGTAGTTTAATCTATTCATATATACAATGAGAACTTCACAAGGTTTATGTTTATGTTTATGTTTATGTTTATTTCCTTTTTTAAATTCACACAAATATACAATGTATGAGTGGGTGACACTTAAAAAGTGTATATTCCCAACAAATTTTTACAATAAAAGTTGTGTGTTGTCATACCTGTTAATGTGCAGTTGGGGACTTGTCTTTGCATTCAACCATACAAATGTTCATTTTTTGCTTGTCACATCTGAGAAGAGACCCATTGAATACAAACATACATGATGAGAGGTTGATAGATGGAAGCTGTAAACAGGCTATGTCAAAAATAAATAAATATCAAACAAATCAAAAGAATCAAAACTGTGTTTGATTATAAAAATAAGAATCTGATAAACTGAGAGATATGTTATGTCCAGTAATAGAAGAGGACAAAAAGGAATACACAAGAGAAGGGGTGGGAGTGATGGCGAGGGCAGTGAGGAGAAAACAAAACAAAATATCAAGTGAATTAATAGCTCTCCAAAAACAGTTTTTTCAGTTCCTTTTTAAATATATAGATACTTTTTATTTCTTTAAGTCTTTCTGGTAAATTGTTCCAAAGTTGTGGTATTGAAAAGGATAAAGATGATCTGCCATAATTTGTTCGAGCTTTGGGTTTGTCATAAGTCGTTCTATTTCTGGTATTATAGGGATTTTTTTCGTGCACCATTGTAAAAAGACGGGGGTATATACTCCTATAATTATCCAAGTCATTTTTCCATTTAAACATAAATATACATTTGACTTGCTTATTAATATCAAAGACATTGAGTAATTTTAACATTTCAAAAAGTGGGGTGGAATGAGCTCTGTAATCACTGTTTGTTGCTAGGCGTACAAACCTTTTTTGGGACAAATGGAGCGGGTTGATTGTTGTGGGATTCGCAGCCCCCCAGATAAGATTCCCATATATAAGGTAAGAATAAATCAAAGAATAGTAAATACTCAAAAAGCCTTGGATATTCAGAATATGCTTTATGTTATACAAAATACCTATAGTCCTTGAGATTTTCATGTTAACTGAAGTGATATGTTCTTTCCAAGTCAAATGTTGGTCAATTATGATACCTAAAAAATTTATTTTTGATACTTGTTGGAGTTTGTTGTCACTAAGGTATATCTTAAAATTGCTAGAATCTAAGTGTTTTTGTCTTGAAGTAAAAATAATGTATTTGGTTTTAGAAATATTTAAAGAAAGTCTATTAGTCACCAACCATTCTTCTATATTTTTTAACTCTGTGTTCAAGATATTATTAAGTTCATCAAGGTTTTTACCATTTATCAATAGATTAGTGTCGTCGGCAAAAAGTACAAAAAATAACCTCGGAGATGATAAGTATATGTCATTTATATAAACAATAAAGAAAAGAGGACCTAATATTGAGCCTTGGGGAATTCCACAACTAATAGTGTTTGGTTCCGAGATGACATCTTTGTATAAAGTACTTTGGGTTCTAATTTGAAAATAGCTTTTTATCAAATCAAGTGAAGTTCCACGAAAACCATAAAAATATAACTTTTGAAAGAGAATTTTGTGGTCAATAGTGTCAAATGCCTTGGAGAAATCCAAAAAAAGGCCAATTGAGTACTCACCTTGATCAATAGATTTCCTTATTTTTTCGACAAAATTAAGAACAGCCATAAAAGTTGACTTTTTTTCTCTAAATCCAAATTGATTTGTATATAAAATTTCCATTTTGTCAATGAAGGTAGAGAATCTTCTGTGCATTAGTTTTTCAAGTATTTTAGAAAAGACAGGAAGGACAGAGATAGGGCGATAATTTGTAAACAATTTTACATTTTCTTTTTTGTAGATAGGAATGACTTTGGCAACTTTAAGATGATCAGGAAAAACACCATTACTAAATGAGAGATTAAAAATATGCAGAAGTGGTTGTAAAAGTGTATTGCCACACTCCTTTATGACAAATGGCTTAAAATCATCAAGACCTGCAGCTGAACTTTTCAAATTAAATATTTCAGTTTTGATTTCATCAATAGATACTGGATTAAGAAATAATGTTGATTCTGTTTGTCCCATGTTCTGCATAAAGTCAAGAGGATTCTTTTTTGAATTTGGAATTTTGGAAGCAAGATTTTCACCTATGGTTGAGAAGAAATTGTTAAATTGATTTGCAATTTGTTGTTTATCATTAATTTCAATGTTATTGTTGAGAAAAGATTCAGATATATTATAAGATTTATTTTTCCTTTGAAGTAATTCATTTAAAATTTGCCAGTTAGCTTTTATATTGCCTTGGGATTTTTGAAATCAGTTATTATAATACATTTTCTGAGAGTTTTTAATTATTCTTTTTAAGGTTTTTGCCTCTCGCTGCCTCTTTTTGCCTCTCTTTTTGCAAACAGGTTAATCATTAAACGAGTCAAAGATCTATTACAAGTTACAATTCTGTTTATCTTCTGCACTATTCAGTGCATGTGATTGTTCTAGTCCAGTTGTACCCTGCGTGCAGAGTCTAGTTGTAAACTACATATAAACTGAAGACGGAGCTCTCTTTTAAGAAGTGAAGTCGGACGAATACAAAGGGTAGTCCAGTTGGTAAATGGCCACATAAAGAGTACAAGCTTTTGTATTCAAATTAAGTAATATTCAATAGATAATGAATAGAAACTATTTCAAGTATGTTACTAGTAGTCTATAGAATGTACAGTCTGAATAGCCAAAATTACTACTACGAAGGGCAAGATACAGTTACATTTTAAATTCTATGATTTTTGTTGCTACGCATGTCAGGATAAGATGTTTCTTTTAAAGACAATGGACCCTTTACTGGTAAAAAACAAAGTGGGGCAACGAAAGAAATATTCATCAGCATTTTAAATTTATTCTTCAGATGTGAGAGATAAACTCCTCTAGCTCTCGTTTGAATAGGATAGTTTCTAAATAGCAGAAAAATCAATGAAATCTCGTGCTGCCATCTTTTATTCAGCTTTTAACTCTGGCTAGAGCTCCATTCACTTACATGCTAAAATCTTGGAAAAGTGGCTTAATTTCATGATTTATCAAAGTGTGTTTGTTGAATCTGTATAAAACTTGAATGATATACCACATGATGACCCTGTTTATGAACATGTTGTGATTAAACATGCTAATGTTGATTGACATACAAATAATCCACGGTTTTAAAGAATTTTAGCATTGCATCTATGGACATTTGGCCCAACTTTTTTTAAATTGTCATAGAAAATTATTCAAATTACATAACTGTGTAAATCAAAGCTATTTTAGGAGAAAACATTCCACTGAATTCAAATATACCATTTAAAAGAAGGTAATGTAAGTCATTAGAGGTCTAATATGCAAGTCTCTTAAAATCTCACGAAAAACGAGATTTGGCGAGATTTCAAAAGCTATATGGAAACTATACTATTGGAGAACATAATGCATGCAAGGAAAATGATTTAAAAAAATGCTTATTGATTACAAATATGTTTGTACTAAAACACTTTAGAACTAAAATGTTGGAATAAATGACACAATACAATAGTACAATTCAATACATTTACATTCTGATTTCTTAGTGGTCCACAACTCGTACAAAATGCTTTGGTGTGTACTTGAATGATTATGTATAAGTGCAAATGAACGCACACTGGGATCCTTCAAGGAGGGGTTTCTAGGTCTGTCTTCCGGGCTAAGTAAGTAAATTAGGACCGTACATACACGGGATATACCCAAGTGGTATTGCTCAGCTTCGTTGGTGGTAAAAAAAATACAACAACTATAACAATTGAAGACAATACATAAGCATACAATAAGTATATATGTTTTTTGATTTCCATCGAATCGCATGGGAACCTCGTTAATCATTTTATCCATTTCCGATTTTTGATTTGTGATGACGAACCTTCCGTACTAATGTATGTCTTAACATTTCGAAAGAAGTGCTTTGACAGTCATTACATTGTCCCATTGTCATAGATTCCAATATGATTTGAAAGCCGTCCTATGAATGATGAAGTGAACTAAGTTATGCGCAACTGATGTTCAAGGGATCATATGCTAATATTGGACGTCCAGTAGTGGCATCCTGACTTTGTTCGACACACTATTGTAAAATTACTGTATAAAAACGTCAATTTATTTTTGCTGGCACTTGATAAAAGGCAGAGTTTTTGGACGGTTTGTAATAGTCTCTTGTAGCTGCTACTTTCGTGATATCACAATCTCGAATAGATGAGTTAGGTAGCTGAAATAATAATCATTATGGTCAATATTATACAATATGGTCAATATTAAACAACGTGGTCAATATCATATAATTAATATGGTCAATATTATACATATATTACATAATATACTAGAACGTTCTTTGCACTAATATAAAACACACGTCCTGTTTATCAATATATCTACTATTATGCAACTTGTCGAGAAATGGTCGATAATTATGGATTAGAATAGGGGAGAACAAAACACTAAAGAGATATAAAAAAATAATTCAGATTCTTGAGAAAAAAGAAAGGTTCATAATAATACATGGTGATCATAAAGTCTCTTCACGCTTTACACATACTTTGTATTGTAATTGTAATTGTAATTGCAAAGAGACTTTATAGACACCCTGTATCCACGTCAAAGGGCCTTGAAAAAGACGATATTTGATATGTGTACCTGGTCTAGTTTAGAGTATGCAGGGTGGGGAGAGTCCTCTTTATATGGACTATTGTCAGCTCTGTTGTAGCAGCAAAGATAGCCCCAGCGTCTGTTTGCACTGTTATTCTGGTCACTCCTATGTAGGATGTTACAGTGGAAGAACATGGCATCTCCAGGGTCCAACTCTGGTTGGATGACAGGACAAACTTTGGAGATCTCTTCCACACGGGCAATGTCTGCGCCCACTTGTGTTCCGACTCTAATGTGATCTAAACGCCCTATCTTGTGAGAACCTGGGATGATCTATCAAGGATGAAGTTAAGGTTGTTTCAGACATTTTTAAAGTACAAAACACATTGAATGAGACAAAAATGGAAAGTTTCAATTTCTATATTTTGAAAAATATTGGATAAGACAACAATATATATAAATCCAGCTCAGCTAGCCCATGGATAATTTAATCATTAAATGAAACCCTATTTCATGAAGCTGGAAGTACCTTCAGACATCCGTTATTTTTGTCAGCTCTATCGATGGCAGTCCAAGTTGTTCCCATATTAGGAAATATGCACCCATTGTTATACCAGTAACTAGAAAATGGGATTGGAATTTTTGAATCAATTGATACTGATATTACCAAGGTAACAAAGAAAAGAACTCCACAACAATCGACCCGTAAAACAAATCCACAGCAAAGCATTATGTAAAATCCAAGGATTATACAATCTGCCGATCAAATGAAAGAAAACGTTGAGACAAAGGGGGCTATTGTACTTTATGATTCAAAGAGCGATTGCTATAAAAAGCGTGAACAGTCAAACTGCTCTCATGACCCATAATCCGTCTGCTACAAAGCTCCCACTTACCCATAATCTTGATGCCACACAAAAGCACCTCCCGTAAAGGCATCCTTCATGATGAGCTTAGCATGGTAATGATAAACCTCCCCTCTGAGCAACTATGAAATCAAAATAAAATGTTCATATGTCTCGATTTTTCGATGGGACTGATAAATAATTTCATTTCCCTGAAAACCTTGCATGGACACAGATTTAAGAAAAACAAATATTTTGATGAAAAATGTCAAAGATGTCAAAAATGTCATTAAAATTATTTTATTGTCATTAAAATTATTTATTAAAATTATTACTGTCTAAAATCATTCTGCGTATCAAATCTGGTCCTTTTGTCACGACCCTCGTGTGGTAGCGTGGTTTGGGGGTCGTAAACAGAATACAGTCTAAGAATCAATAGTTTGATTTGATGTTTTCATTAACTTAGTTTCGGGACAAGTTCAAGTAAAAGTTGAAATGTGTATCCCTATTTATTTGAACAACATCCGTGTTCACAGTATCATAACAAAATTGGATCAAATTGGGATAAATTTTGCGATGAAAATTTAGGGATAAATTAGGGATAAATTTAGGAATAAAAATTTAGGGATAAATTCTGGGATAAAAATAATTGGGATGAAGTGGGACAATTTCGGGAAAACAATTACGGGATAACAAAATCTGAATATAGACTAAGTAAGATTTGTCAGTTTTCAATGTAAGTTGTTTGTCTCATAAAGGCAAATGGCAACAGACTCCAGATTCTGAAAGTGCCCAGTGTTCAGTTGTATCAAATAAGTATAATGTTAGGGTGTGAGTATAACCAGGTGGAAGTCCTAGCCACTTGAGGGCTACGATGGACTTCAAGCTGTATATTAAGCTCGCTGTTCACACTTAAGAACTAAAGTAGGGCCATTTCAAATCACAGCCTGTCAAACTCACTAGGGTGAATGAAATTCTCACTAATATTATCAATAAGACATGTAAGACAAGGGTTAAATAAGAAAGTAAGATCCTGGATTGTACTTTAGCTCTGCACTATTGCATAGTTTCTGGGGAAATATATGTATGACTTATTGCGAGTGATTGTTATTCAAAGAAGCCCTTAGCAAATATGAGCTAAGATAAAGCTTGTTGCTTGAATGTTAGTATCACTAAAGTCACCTGGAATTTAGTCGGAATCTATTTTGAATCCAGAATCTACTTCAGATAAAATGAACTTGAACAACATGAACTTCCGGTTGTAATGGAAACGTGATAGGAAAAGAAGTGGGGGTGAAATTCAGTTATAGCTCTAAACAGCGGCGCTGAACTGGTAATATCTTGTTGATTATCAATTTATAAAAGTGTATAGACTACCGTGAACATACGTAGAAATGTCAACTGACTCTAACCAAAGCAGAATGACGGACTTTCTAACAAGCACGCCAGCGAGTGCTAATAATGGTGGAATACAAGATGGCGGCGTGTCAGCCATAAAGCCTAGCAAAAAAAGGACGAAAATTGACCGTAGTGGCGAAAAGGATGAACTTAGTGAGAGTGAATACGAACACGATGGTTCAGACGATAACGAAGATGATGAAGAAATGTCTAACAAAGACTTAAAAGTTTTCATTAAAAACATGTTTACCAAGTTTGATGCAAGATGGTTCAAAGTTCAACAAAAAGTCAAAAAACTCGAAACTGAACACAAAAGCCTAAAGGCAAAATTCGAGGTTATGGAAAATGATCTTAGACAGCTCAAGTTGGATAGTAATCATAACAACCAATATTCTCGCAAGAACAACATAAATATTCATGGTATTTCGGAGTCTAATGGCTCTGAGACGGTCGATCAATGTACCGATCTGGTTGTCGAAACTTTGAAGAATAAGAATATCCCAATCTCCAGGGATATGGTGGAAATCGCCCATAGAGTTCCTGGCCAACCTAAACCCGGCGTAACCCGCAAGATCATCGTTAGACTGAGATTAAGAAGCCATAAAGACATTGTAATGAAAAACAAAAAACTGCTGAAGGGATCGCCGATTCGGATTTACGAGGATGCTAGTCCTCTTAATGGGAAGCTTTTGTATGATCTGAGAAAACACAAAGATGTTGAAAATTCGTGGATGACAAACGGAAAGGTACTTGCGAAACTCAAATCCGGTAGAACAAGGGCCTTTGATATCCTGGATCATGTTGGAGAAGACTCTGAACTTTCCTAAGGCGAGTATGGTATGCTACTAGAAAACCAAACTCTGGTACACTTATTGTACCACTTGACATTTATACTAATATACGTCGATATCGAACTTTTGAAGCAATTCAAGACGTTACTGTCTGTGCAAACCTGAGCCTAAGAACATTAAACCTAGTAATTATACAGGACATTAGGTATTCAGATTGATCAGTTGTGTTGAAATTCTCCCTTTATCCTGGCAAACTCGTGTCACTTAAACATCATATCTCTTTGCTAAAAAGTGAACAAATGTCTGCTTTACAAACTCTGATAAAAATCATTAAAAGTTTTGAACTATTTACTATATAAAAACAGGATTATGTATAGGGTATTCTGTGCAAAATTCTGTAATGGTTTGTTATGACACGTGACCTGCTACAGTTGACCCCAAGTGCACTTCCGGTGTATGTACATGACATGTTTGAACGTAGCATGATGAAGTTTGATTTTTGGGGTTCTACAAATTGCCGAGTAAATTGTCTATATTATGATGATGTGACTATAGATACGTTGGAGGTATGGGCTCCATGTACGTAAATGAAGTCAACATTCCACTGTGTACAAGGTAGGGTTCTCAGTTTTTATTCGATATTGATGCAGCTCTTGCATTTCTTGTAGATCACCAAATTTAAGTTGGCAACCTGGGTTATCACAGTGTATTGGTGACTTTATCTGGGTATTTTGCAAATAACGTTGATGTATTTCAACAATATTTGTGCTCTATGCGTGTCTATTTTTAGAACACACACAAACCATTTTGCTTGGTTTTCATGATACATGTATGTGTAACTGGCGTTCTATATATACCACTCACTTTATTTCATGCAAGGAACACTGTCACTGTTGTTTTGATTGAGACGCACTGCACTGGTAATGTTGAAAACAGCTGAGCGCGTTTTATGTTTATGTGTGTAGTTATACCATGCTTTCACATAGCAAGTATGGATGGGAGGGGGATTGGAATGTTGCCAAACTCAATGTTTATTTACATTTATAGTTAGGATATGGATTTCAATCAGCTGTTTGGTGCAATTCTAAGCCAACATAACAGTGTCAGTGCGTTTAATTTGCCATCTTCAAGATATTATGTCTTCAATATTATGTTTATTAGACTATTTGTATTCACATTTATACATGTATGATATCTGGGTTTCTCCCTACACTTTATTTCTATAAGACCCAAAACATATATACGTGTTCACACTCAACACATTCACTTGAGTTCTTAAGGGATATGGCAGTCCCACTAGTTCTAGTGTATGATAATGGGGGTTGACTTAACAACTTGGAGGGGGAGAATAGGTGCTTTTTCGAATAGATTTGGGTTTTCCCAACCAAAAAGTTCAACTAATTACAGTTTGCAAGGTATATGTGTTGCTGGGAATTTTCACTATTCATACTACTGTTTGTTGAGTTTGGTTGTTGTACTCAGTATGGTAATAGTTATCACATATCTCAAATGGATTTTTGTAATGTTAATAATATCCATTTTAACTCTTCACTACCTGACTGCACTTTTATTAGCAATATCTATCATGTCTATTACTCGTAAACATACTAGATTTACCATGTCCCCTAGAAACATCATACTCATGTTTGCAGTAGCCAGCTCTATCTTAGTAATGGTACCAGGGCTATTTACTATAGGTAATTTTGCAAATCCTAATATCATTAGACTTCTGCTTTCATTATCAAATGATATTGAACAGAATCCAGGTCCCAAAGACTATATTAATGTTTTATTTTCAAATATCAATAGTATTGCCGCAGACAATAACGCACGTTTTGATTGCCTCAAACTCTATTTGAAAGAGGAAAATATTCATATTGCTGGTCTGAGTGAAGTTGGTACTAATATCAATACTTCTGACTACAACATTGATGGTTACCACACCCTAGATTTGAACTTGTACAACACATCTGGTCGAGGACTGTTGGTTTATATACATGAATCCTTAAGTTTTAAAGTTCGCAACGACCTTAATGTCGGATTGAATGATTGCATTTGGCTTGAAGTTAAAGTACAGAATAAGTCATTTTTGTATGGTCTCTTCTATAGATCTCCTTCTCAACTGGCTGCCACTAGAGACCAATACATGTTCAATCTCAATGCCAATATTGAAAATGTTTTAAAGAGAAACTCTGACCTTATAGTTCTTGGGGGGGATTTTAATGCTAGAAGTAAAAAATGGTGGCCAGATGATGTAAATAGTAACGTTGGTAACTTGCTTTATGACATTTGTGTGAATAACTCACTTACTCAGTTTATAGAAGAACCCACAAGAATTACTACACAATCTAAATCCTGTCTAGATTTAATTTTTTCAAATTTTCCCGGCCGAATTTTGAAAACTGAAGTTAAACCACCTATTGGTGGAACTGATCACTGTTCGACTTTAGCATCACTTGATGTCTCACTACCAAACAAACAAAATGTGGTTACTAAGAGATCGTGGCTTTATAGCGAGGCAAATGCAATCAACCTGAATCAGGCTGTTAAGGATTTCGATTGGAACAGTATTTACCTACAAGATGATGTTAACAAAATTACATCAGATTTTACTACTGCACTTTTTCATATATTTGAATCCCATATACCAAGCAAAGTTACAACCTTGAAAACTAGTGATATGCCCTGGTTCAACAAGGATATCAAGTCAGCTCTCAATAAAAAAGATAAATTGTACAAAAAAATGAAAAAGGACAGCAATGACTTAAACATCAACCAATTTAAAAAGCAAAACGAATATCTTACCAAATTAATTACTGACTCAAAGAACAACTATCAAGATAAACTTTGTAATAACTTGGATGAAGAAGCAGCAAATGGCCTAAACTACTGGACAATTATAAAGAAACTTATAGGAACCAAGTTTTCAACAGGCATTCCTCTTCTTGAGATAAATGATAAAATTATTGATGATGACCTTGGAAAAGCAAATGCTTTTTTAAATAAGTTCATGACTAAGTTCCACCATAATATAATTGATAAGTCATTGCCGCCCTGTCCTATGAAAACAAATGAATCTTTGACTTACATAAATATTTCTCGAAAAAATATAAATGATAACTTACGGAACCTTAATTCATCTAAAAAAGGTGGAGAAGATAATATCACTAACAAAATGTTGAAACTTGTGGCTGACTCTATCGATGTTGAACTAGTTAAATTATTTACTATTTTCTTGGAGACAAATACATTTCCTGATTGCTGGAAACTGGGTATAATTGTTCCTATATATAAGAATAAAAATTCAAAAACAGACCCATCCAACTACAGACCAATCTGCCTCCTCAATAATCTCTCAAAGCTTTTTGAACGAATAATTTATACAGCAATTTTTGACCATGTTTCCTCGAAGAACCTCATTTATGAAAATCAGTCCGGGTTCTTACCAGGCCATAATACACAGAAGCAACTATTTTCTATTGTTAATATGTTAGCCGATAATTTTGACTCTAACCTAGCAACCCGTGGAATATTTTTAGACGTGGAAGGTGCATTTGACGCAGTCCCACATTTTTTGTTACTCCATAAGATGAAATCTTATGGATTAGGCAACAATATTATAGAGTTATTGACCTCATATCTAACAGATAGGAAATTAAAAGTAAGGATCAATGATACTTATTCAGACATTTCATGTAATGCTGAAACTGGTGCAAATATTCCTCAAAATCTTCAAAATCGAGACTCCAGATCCTATGAAATAAATAGTGGGGTTCCCCAAGGATCAATTCTTGGCCCCCTATTATTTTTGTTATATATTAATGACTTAGCAGACTCAGTTCATAATTGTAAACTTTTCTTATATGCTGATGATAGTTCGATCTTCTTGACAGTACCAAAGAATGAATCAGTTGAAACAACAAATCAAAAAATTCAATCAGATATCAATGAAATGGCTAATTGGTCCACTAAATGGAAACTCAAATTTAAGGCATCTAAGAGTAAGGAGGTTATCTTTCAATCTAAACACACACGAAAAGTTAAGAAACAAATTCCAGGAACAATGAATAATGAGCAAATACCTCTTGTAAATAGCCATAAACATTTAGGCATCATTTTAGACAAACACCTTAGCTTTGAAGAACACATTAACTCAGTGATTACTAGGTGTAATAAAATGTTAAATCCATTAAAAGCACTCAAATTTTCAGTAAGATCAAAACACTTACAGACAATTTACATGGCATTCATTCTCCCACATCTCGAATATGGCAATATTATTTTTGACAGCGCAAATCTAAACCTCTTAGCAAGTTTAGATAGAGTCCAATATAGAGCGGGTCTTATTGTAAGTGGTTGCATCCAAGGGTCAAACTCTGAGAAGGTGATGGCATGTCTTGGATGGAGATCTTTATCCAATCGAAGAAAAGAAAAAAAACTAGTTTTTATGTTTGACTTTGTAAATAACTATAAGATGCCTTCATATGTTTCAAATGTTTTTGAACAGTATAAGAATCAGGTAACCCACCAAAGACTTCGTCGTAGCAATGATTTTAAGATCCCATTCAAAGCATCTGCTAAACTTAGAAAGTTTACAGCTTTATCCAGTATTAAATTATGGGATAATTTACCTGATGAACTGAAACAAGCACACTCACGCAACTCATTTAAGTATAAAATTAGAACATTTTTGAATGGGAAAAAGAAAGAATTCACAACCCCAAGATTAAACCTATCCAGAGATAAAGAAATTGTCTTAAATAAAACGAGATGTGATCTCATTTTTAGGCAGCATCTTTTTACACATAACTTCAAAAATATTCCAAATGCCAAATGTAAATGTGGTCACTCTACTGAATCAACCAAACACCTATTGCTCCATTGCCCTCTTTTTAACACTCAAAGACTCAATTTTCACAGAGAACTAGGGGGACTGCCATCCTTTAATTTAAACTCTTTTAATAATAGAAAACAGGAGGACAGGGTAGACTTTCTACTTTTTGCAGATCCTTCTCTTGACACAATTACAAATAAAAAGGCTATTGAATTAACAGCCGAGTTTTTACACTCTATTGTCAAGGAAGTTAAATAGTCCAATATTCATTAATTTATACATATATCTCTGACCTGTCTTCATGTTTTCAAGATTATTTTCATGTTCATAAATATGTTTTATATCTATCATTTTTACATTATGACCTATTTTAACTTATATTGTAACTACTTCAACAGGGCCAATAATGCTTCGGCGTAGGCCTTGTATCTGTTTGTATGATGTATTATGAAATAAAGGAAATATAAAAATTAAAAAAAAATAAATAAAATGAGGGGGGGGATTTTCTAACATATATATAAAAAACAATCGAACACAACAAGTGATATTCTGTGGATTTTTATATAATGTATAAAAACGACTCTATTTCTATTTATTAATCTACACAAACATTACACAATTCAGTACTGTCGAGATGGTAATATCAAGTAAACAATCTCTCAAACCAAACATGCATAAAACAGCACAGCTAATGGAAGTTCAGTTAAACAATTTGCAATAAAGCCTAAAATGGGTCTTTTTCCAAAAATGTAACTTAACAGTGCAATTTTATATCATCCCTGGGGGGGGGGGTTGAAATAAGCTCCCTATACTGGAACATCATTTTGCCACTATCAGACTATGGTACAATTGGCAAACAAATGGGAAACAGTATTTTAAAAGTATTCTAGTATCTATAATGAATTAGAATGTGGTTAACATAGAATTAGACCAGACATGGAAAACTAGAAGGGGAGGGGGTGTCTTAAGTCCGAAAATGGGGTTCGAATGACCATGACCCTTAAAAGTACTTCAATGATCAGTTGTTTGATAATGGTCCCATAAGCCCGGGATTTCACCTTTAAATTACCCAGAATTTAAATATAGAAAGGAGTATTTCTAGTGTATCAATAAAATTTACCCTGTGAACAAACTAAATACAGTCCCAAACTGGATGGGGGGGGGGGGATGTCGTATAGAGGTGTCTATGAACCCCTGGAATTTGCAGTTGACTGGTTTAGAGCAAGTTACATAAGGTTCGTAAAGACAGTAACTTTTCGTACACCTTGTCAAATATTCCTAAACGATTCCCTGTGGGGATGTTGTATAGAAGGTTCCATAAGGAACCCCGGGAACTTGCTTTCGACGCTGGTTAATAAGTTACATAGGTTCTTTAAGACAAAAACTCTGCGTGTAACTTTGCGTTAACCTTGTCAAATGTTCCTTAACAATCCCTGGGACAATTTAAACATGGGATGTTCACAAGGCAAATAAATAAAATTAAGGAAAAAATCAAGTGCACAGATACTTCTTTTCAAAGACTAAAACTCTGCAAAAATACAATTAAATCAAGTCAATTACCTTTACCAACTCGTACACCTAAGTTGGTTTATCTGTGGCAATATAAATATCCAATTTTAGTGACGATTTAATGTTTAAAATTCCACAAAATGTTTTCCATGTCTGGCCGGCTTGAATTCGAATCATAAAAGCACAGAAAAAGACAATTCACTTAAAACGTACTTATTTACTTAAATCAAGCTTAATAAGCCTCACTTTGGATTTTGAAACAAACCCAGACAACTGCCCTTTCTAAAAAGTTTGTAGCATAACACTAAACATGAAACTTGGCTTAAAACCTTCATATTAAACTCATATTATGAACAAAATATATATGTTGACATTAATCCTGTAAATAATATAACATGAAAAACACAAGAGAAGGTTATTAACCTAAGTATAAATATAGAGTAAATTGATTAAACTCCAACCATACTTTAAGAGAATAGCCGAAGTAGCAATACTGACTACCCTTTCACAGAATTTAAATTATTTTATAACTCTTGAAATATTAAGTAAAGAGTGAAGAGCAAGAAGTTAAACAAAGTGACAATACTTCAAGTCAATTCCATTACCATGCTCAAAGTAATCTGAAGGATCGTCACACTTTGTCATGTATGCATTTATCATTTTACAGTATAAGCACAATACTGACCTACTGTAACTTAAGAACAACAAAATTAAGATTCAATCATTAACAGAAAAAACAAAAAAAGACGACATAGCAAGAACTCTAAAGTTTAGATACATTATACACGCAAAGATGCGTTCTACCTTTTCCCACGTGCCTGCCATGCGATTAGTGCGGGCGACGACACCCAGAATGTCATCACTTGGGTTATTCCACACTGTCGCTCTTGCATGTTTACCCTCCCCGTCATCCTTGTCGACCTTGTGATCCATTATACCCTTGTCGGTCTCTAGAAACTGGCGGAGTTTCTGAGTCTCATCGTTAGTGAGTAGACCACGTACAATGATGTAACCAAACTCATCAAAGTGCGTCTTCATCTCGTCTGTCACTTCCCAGTCATCGCCAGTGTATTTGAAACCTGATACCGAAAAGATACAATTTAGCATTGATAATAACTACCATTAGAATTATCTAGTTATATAAATTCTGTATTTGAATACTTGAGTTAGGTATTTGTGATTAAATTGGCCATTTCGTTGTCTTTGGCGCTATTATTGTTAAGATATAATTATTATAGAAATTGAGATCTTTTATTTGTAATCTTCACGTCAGTCTAAAAAGGCAGAATATAGCCAAACTCAAACCTTCCCTACATGATCGGTATTTGATTAAGTAGAAGTGATGTTTCATTTGAAAGTCATGTCAATTATCTAATTAATATAAAGCCAGACCTTGTATGTTTTGCTCCATTTCAACCGGTGGTGTATGTGGTAAATCATTTTGTGTTATTGTTATCAAAGAGTGTTTCAGTTTAGAACATGACGTGTATGTGGACTTCAAGGTCAGCATGCCAGTACACAAAATGGTGATAAGATAAGCAGCTAAAGAATCTATGGGACTATTGTTCTCATTCCACGCACGGTAGCTAGAGGTGACGCGGTACCCACACAGAACATATCCAAATCGAGGCTGAAGAAGATGTTTAAAATGTATGGCGTGCTTGAGTATATATATATTCTGCCTTTTCATTGCAATAAAACTATTACCATTATATTTCATTAGATACACAAGAAGTATATATTGATTATATTCTCCTTTTTTATAAAAATATTATTTAACAAAAATTAATTTGTTTGTGGTATGAATTTGCCTTTGGAATAAGCCCTGGAAATATGGGTTTATGTGCAAAGATGATTAAAACAATGAAGACAAATTGGTAACACATCTGTAGACTGAAACAAATTAAGGATAAAATGATTCGTGAATGATAGAAAAAATATCAATATGGCACAAATTATGGACTTTTACGGATCGAAGGCTTTGAATAACGCAGATGCGAGTAGGTAGTTACCAGATTCACCACCAGATGGCTCGTTCGGGTCAGATAGCATGGCGGGTATGGTAGAAAGTCCCCTTTAACTTAAAATTAAATTACATCTATTTGCGTGGTTCAATTTTCATATAACCCTTATGTATCTAATAGTTATGCAAATTAAAATATGTCCAGTAAAAGAAAATGTTATCTGTCCAATACAAGATAAGATAATTCATTTTTTGTGATTTTGTAACATGGGCTCTATGGGGAATCAACCCGAACAAAAAAAAAAATTCAAAGTTGATAGACAATTTTCGAAACCATATTTCTAGATGTACTTTTACATGCAGGTTTCAAATATGACATCACTTTGACTGAATTTTGAATATTTAATGACGTAAATCAAGATTATTTCTACTCGCATCTAGTCTATTGTAGTGCTTATTTCCAATAGGCTGTCATTTCAAACAGGAAGTGATTTCATCGACCCTTCACATGTTAACGTGTTTTGCTAAGCAAAGAAAGTGCATACCAAAACTGAATACAATATCCCAGACAATGCCAGATGCTAGTAGAAGTAATCTTGATTTACGTCATTAAAAATGTACAATTCAGTCAAACTGGTGTCATATTTGGAATCTACATATAAAATTACATCTAAAAATGTGGTTTTGAAAGGAGTTTATCAACGTTGAAAATTTAATTTTCTTTGAAAATGTGACTTCTAGGTCGGGGAGATTCCCCATAGGCACAATGTTTTAAAACTACAAAAAGTGATATATCTTTTCTTGTGTTGAGCAGACAATATTTTCTTTTCCTGGACATATTTTAATTTGTATAACTATCACATACATAAGGGTAGTTTGAAAAGTGAACCACTAAAACTGATGTATATTCAAGTTTAAGGGAATTTTGTAATACCCTGCCATGTTATTTCCCCCGAATCAGCCACCTGGTGGCGAAACTGGTCACTTCCTACTCGCATCTGAGGATACTCAATCGGCCGGGTACCGACCGATGAATCGGAGCAAATGTGACCCAGGCATAAGTAACACCACTTTAAAGAAATTGTGACATTTCAATACATTTTATGATTAGATTCTCTTTTATGGAAAGTTACACTTGATCTTTTAAAAATGATGCACGGTGTCCCATTGTTATGGACAACAGTCTATAAATAATGGTCCAACTCGGGTAAGTTGTTCTTATTCTGTTACGAGAACACCCCTTCTCGTAGCAGAGTACATTGTGAAAAGGACATTGAGAAGCACTTTACTGTAGCGTTGTATATAAGCAGTGAGCATGCCGCTATTAAGCTAATCTCGCATGTATTCGTGCATTATAAGTATGTGACACTTCATTAAGACAGTATTATAAGGAAACCATTGACTCATTTTATGTCTACATTTTGTGTCTTCTTTTGCGCCTTTTTATAAACGATGCTCTGGTACATGTACATTGCAATGAACTGTACAAAGAAATAGAAAAAGATCCTTCACCTAAATGTATAATTACATTTACAAACAAAACAACACAACACAATACTATAAGTTATTGAATGATTTGAAGTGCAATACAGGATATATTCTGTTCGAGAAATTCCGTATTGGAACGAGACGAAGTCGAGTGCCAATACAGAATATCGAGACAGAATATATCCTGCATTGCACTTCAAATCATTCAATAACGTTTTTATCGTGTTATCCTCTGTATTGCTACTGAAATTGTCTCCTCCGTACCAATATTTTCTGTATTGCGACGGAGATGATCAACGCGGACAATCTCAGTAGCAATACAGATTGGTATAGCACAAGAACTGACCAATCAGAGGGCTTCATTTTACAGATCATACGATAAAACACAATACCACGAATCACAATTACTATTTAAAATACAGCAAAACAAAACATAATTCAATACACTACAACACAATATCACATATCAAAAATCCACACCTCGATCACAATACATTACAGTAAAATACAATACAATGCAATGCAATACAATACAACATAGCACAATACCACACATCACAAAACCACACCTCACAATACAATACAATACAATACAATACAGTACAATACAATGCAATACAATACAATACAATATGAAAATACAATACAATACATTACAATGCAATACAGCACAACACAACTAGATAATCTTGGTCAACCAAATAGTCTACTTTATACGTCAAGTGCATTTACATCTTAGAGCAGAGAAATCACATGTGGTGACGTATGCAATGCATGCTTATTATCCACGTGCATGTTGTCTTGCTAGGAAGTCTTCGAAAATGTGTGTTGAAAAATAAAAAGAAGCCCCGACTTATCAAAAATAGAAAGAAGCCCCTCCTAATTAAGGTTGACATAGTTGTGATGTCACGTCCTGAAATGAAAGCTCGTCCCACAAAGCGAAAAGAGCTCCAACTTATCATCACTCTATTCCATTAATGATGTCGTATAAGTGTCGTATTAAATCATGACACAACTTAAAGTACAAATAACCTGCACTTTTAAACTCGATATATTCAATAATCAGCAAATATGAGCAGCCTGGAAATTTAACAATGCCTATATTGCATAGTTATGAATATTCACACCATCGGTTTTCACTGCGTTCAGACCGACGGGAGTATTCTGATACTCATAGCATCTCACTCTCTCTGTTGCATCGCAGAAGGACAGAGATGGAGAGGGCGTGGCTCCCCACGAGAGCCGAGTGAACGATGTTCTAGTTATAATTAGAGTTAGTATTGTGTATTGTGCACGTGTGGGAACAATACTTTCTAAAATTTCTGGATTTCTTTAATATACAATACGATGTATTCGTTAAATTATACATTAACAGAAATCATTGTCCCCGGTTGAGTCTATCCGGTCTAGTCTGCTTTTCAGGGAGACATTTTAAGAGATCTCATCATTTCAAAATAGTCGACATTGATTTGTGAGGAAGGAAGATCATATGGAAATGAATGAGTTTAACTAGCATGGGCAATATTCGTTCTTCCGACATTTACATCATAACACACACTTACCGTGTGATTTATTGTCAAATAGGGAAATCCATATTCGCATGGTGTTTACTTTATCGTTGTCGATTCAAGGTGCTACTTTCCATCCGGTTGTTGATCCATCCGTCCATTGGTTGTACCAAGCATGTTTTTCATACGCGTTTAGTACAAACTCTTTGATCTAATTGATCTTAAGATAAATACAGTCCTCGTTGTATCGATCAGCTCGGAACTGATGTTAGACATTGTGGATATATCGGGTTTTGGGGTCTACAATTGTGACCTGTTGCTTTACTGTTACAAACTGTTACTATCAATGGCAGTATCCGGTGTTCTAAATCAAAGCCTCTACATTCTATATTGATTTGACCAGTAAAAAGACGCTCACTTTTTATCGCCCATTGTGTTTTTCAACGTTCTGTTTTCAATATTCTGTTGAAGCTGGTCTTTCAAGAGGTTTTGAAAGACAATGGTTGAGGTAATCCTACAGAATAAAATTGAAGCCGCCCATACCATGAAAATGTCAAAAGATATTTATCCGCCTACCTTTGTAATATAACAACCAGAACATATAGACATGTACTTATCATTGACACAATATTTATTAAATTTTTTGAACAAATGATAAATGGACTTTGCTAAATGTCAAAATACCATTTGCATCATATTCATCTCTTAATAATTGCATCTCTTTTAATGCTCCGCTTCTAAAAGAGTTAACTTTTTTTAACTTTTCAAATGCACAAAAAGCTTTCAATTCCTCAAAAGTGATTTCATATGCATTTTTGCTTCCTGTGATATTATGTATCATTTTCTAGAATACTGTTGGATAATGTGATTTAAAAGAAATAAAAGAAAATAATTTTAAAGACTTGACTGGTAATATCATACATACTGTTGAACCTGGTCAAGATGAATATCACCACTTCAGTACCACTGGGCTTATCTTCTTGAAACTTGGTACAGATGTTCCCCAAACATTATTAAGAATAAAGCTGAACTGCTATTTGATTGGCTTATATCATGGTTACTATGGTAACCCGATGTGACCTCACTCTCGGCAAACTTAATTTTACAAGAAAAATAATTATCTACGAGTTTCAAGAAAATTAGTTCAGTATACACTGAAATGACAACACGCTACTTCTGAATCACCCTTTCGTTAAACATTTTACCAATCTTAGAACACCTAGAACTGATGACACTATGTCATCGACTTGTCATTGCTTACGATACGCTAATAGTTATCCAATAATAGAATTCCTTACATAAAACACCATGTGTAACGCGAGTAGGCGATCAAACTGTATTAAAGGTACGGGCATTGACTATTCAGTCTTACACCGTGATAAGCGAACATCCGTTGGATTGTTGATTTCAAGAGGGGTGGGCAGACAGCAAAACATTATATAATCACCTCTCTTGGAAGTCAACTTCCTTACTTAACTGGGACTACTGGAGGGCAGTTTTAGTTCGCCACGCTTGCAACTTACGGAGACACATCGAGGAGTATAAACTGGGACACGATCTGAAGCTTAGTTTTGAAAAGCAATTATGAGCTACAGGTAGGAGGATTTTCGATTGTGAACTAGAAAACCATGTCTATGATATTGCAAATCTGAAAGATGGTATTTTATTTTGATTAACTTTATTTCAAAAACATGCAAATGAATGTGTTCCTTGGAAACTGAGATATTTGCAATAATTAGTGTACGATTTATGACATGTTCGCTCAAATTGCTGTCTGACTATTTTTAAATAGCCTACCGTAAAGGAATACCATATCATTTCATATTCTCAAAAATAGTTTTAAAATGGCAGTGAATTAAGTGTGCCACCATGAAGATGAAGCTCTCTTTTAAGAAGCGAAGTTAAACAACTGACGAAATGGTAGTTTGTCAATGATCTAATGTTTAAATGATTGATAGTAAGACAAATAGAAATGCCTCAAAACGTTACTCAAACACATCTTTAATGCATTTAATAAAACATATTTGATGATAAAAATTAATGGAATTGGTGTCTTATAGAGAATAAAATATTTGTATTTCTTTTTCAAAACACCCAAACTCTACAATATATTCAATATATGAAGGAATAAAAGGTATAAGAATGAACTATAACTATACACTGATGCTGGCTGTACAGCAACAGTGTATGGTGCGCATTATTCCTTTCCCTCGTGTCGCGTAAAACGACACGTTACCTGAGATTTGAAAAACATGTTATGGAATGAATAAGGAATTATAGAATACTACACGTACAACCACACGGTGTTATAGCATGACGGTTACGTCAATGCGATTTGCAAGATTTTGCGATAACGATAACAAAAAAAGGCGGATGGGACAGACAGCATGTCCTCTTTCTTGCCTGTCGGCAAGATTCACCGAAAAGATTTCCTTTTCAACTAGTTCCATTCGGTGACGTATATATACAGACTGGGCCAAAAAACGACACTTTTTTTTCGAGACACTATATCTTTTTTTTTTTATTAGCTTGGCGGTCATCAGGTCATATGAGTTCAGGAACATTTTGCAAATTATGCCTATTTCTCATGGCACACCACATGTTTAAGTGAGACGCTGGTGACATATTTTATTCAAGTAAAAGTGTACAATTCATGATCCATGGCTAGATAACAACTTTAAGTTTCTTTTGGTATGCAAATTATGATTTTGAACCAAAAATTAAAAAGGTTATAGCATTTTGAAAAAAAAGTGTCGTTTTTTGGCCCACCCTGTAGATGGTTATAAAGACTGGGTCAAATTTGCCAGGTGGTTCACTAGAAGTAGAATATAAGCTGTAAACTTACCGACTGAGATATCCAAGTTCATGATTTTTAGTCCATTCTAGTGTTTTTCAGTATATGTGCCTCAGAGCTATGTATCGGAGATACATATTTGAAGGAGGTTCGCGTAAACCGTCCATCAATTTTTTGCGTAACCGCAAACTCAAAATGCATTATTATGGCTTGAGTAGAACATATTCATGCTGAATTGGCTTTTTATGATCGTATGTAGGTTACATCTATATCACCCTGCTATAGCATGACGGTTACGCCACCTCTGAAAACGAGGTTACCTACATATTATTGTCAAGATAATACTGAAACATACAGTATATACATTTATCTAAAACTCTTTGAAATATTACAAAAATTAGTACCGTGGGTGCTCAAAAGTGAAAGATGGCTGGCTAAAATGACAGAAAATAAAAAAAACTATATCATTTTTTGCTGATTTTTGGAAACAAAATTATTTCAAGCCACTTGCCACTATTTGGACTGACTGAGAGACAGATGGACAAATCGATGTTAAATAAAATGGCTGAAAAAAAATGGATATAAATTTTTGCTAATTATTTGTAACGAAATTATTTCATATAACTACTCTTTACAGTGACATGGCTTTTTGCAATGCAGGACACCTGAAATTATTTGTCAAGCTAGGAAGTGGGCCAAAATTGAATTTCGCGAGACAAAAAAGGTAACCATTTTGAAAATAGGCAAGCTTTTGAACCAGGAGTCATAGGGGAGTTTTTTGTATTGATGTTGAACAAAAATTACTTGAAACTGGAATCCTATCGACAGAGGTTTTAAGGCAAATGGTCCAAAAGAGGATTTTGCAAGACAGATGGACAAATCAATGTTAACTAAAATGGCTGAAAATAAAAAAAATGGATATAATTTTTTGCTGATTTTTCGTAACAAAATTATTTCATACATCTACTCTTTACATTGACATGGGTTTTTACAATGTAGGACACTTGAATTTATTTGTAAAGCTAGGAAATGGGCCAAAAGTGAATTTCGCGAGACAAGAATGGCGACTATTTTGAAAATAGGCGAGCTTTTGAACCAAGAGTCATAGGAGAGTTTTCTGTATTGATATTGAACAAAATTAACTTAAAACGGGAATCCTATCGACAGAGGGTTTAAGGCAAATGGTCCAAAAGTGGATTTTGCAAGACAGATGGACAAATCAATGTTAACTAAAATGGCTGAAAATAAAAAAAATGGATATAATTTTTTGCTGATTTTTCGTAACAAAATTATTTCATACATCTACTCTTTACATTGACATGGGTTTTTACAATGTAGGACACTTGAATTTATTTGTAAAGCTAGGAAATGGGTCAAAAGTACATTTCGCGAGACAAAAATGGCGGCCATTTTGAAAATAGGCGAGCTTTTGAACCAGGAGTCATACGGGAGTTTTCTGTATTGATGTTGAACAGAAATAACTTAAAACAGGAATCCTATCGACAGAGGTTTTAAAACGTGCCACTGTTGTTGACGGAAAAGTGGATTTCGCGAGTCAGATGGACAAATCAATGTTAACTAAAATGGCTGAAAATAAAAAAATGGATATAATTTTTCGCTGATTTTTTGTAACAAAATTATTTCATATATCTACTCTTTACATTGACATGGATTTTTACAATGTAGGACACCTGAAATTATTTGTAAAGCTAGGAAATGGGTCAAAAGTAAATTTCGTGAGACAAAAATGGCGGCCATTTTGAAAATAGGCGAGCTTTTGAATCAGGAGTCATAGGGGAGTTTTCTGTATTGATGTTGAACAGAAATAACTTAAAACAGGAATCCTATCGACAGAGGTTTTAAAACGTGCCACTGTTGTTGATGGAAAAGTGGATTTCGCGAGTCAGATGGACAAATCAATGTTAACTAAAATGGCTGAAAATAAAAAAAATGGATATAATTTTTCGCTGATTTTTTGTAACAAAATTATTTCATATATCTACTCTTTACATTGACATGGATTTTTACAATGTAGGACACCTGAAATTATTTGTAAAGCTAGGAAATGGGTCAAAAGTAAATTTCGTGAGACAAATGGCGGCCATTTTGAAAATAGGCGAGCTTTTGAACCAGGAGTCATAGGGGAGTTTTCTGTATTGATGTTGAACAGAAATAACTTAAAACAGGAATCCTATCGACAGAGGTTTTAAAACGTGCCACTATTGTTGACGGACGGACGGACAGACGGACGGACAGACAGACGGACGGACAAGTGAGTGATTGCAAAAGCTCACCATGTGAGCTAAAAAAGGGAAGCATGGCACTACTCATTTTGAAGTTTTCATGTTTATAATACAGAGTTGCATACCCTTCTATTGAAAGCCCAGGGCTTGAAGCCCTTTAAGCCCATATCAGAAAATGAATCAAGCAATACTGAAATTCCAATTGCTATATTGCACTGAAATTTTCTTATTTGTTATTCATTAAACATAATGTGACTTGTAATGTGAATAAACTTTTAAAGCATAGGTCAGGTTTTCATGAGAGATTCGTCTCTTGTCTCATTTACTCATGAACTCTTACGAATCCCACTTGCTCATTGATAGCTAACAATCCCAAGATGTAATCATCATTCATTACACAATAATTGCATATATAACTTCTATGATTGACATAGCATAACGATCAACATCCAAGCCTGAAACAAATGAATATTATATTGGAATGTGAAGCTATTGGTATAGTGGGCGATAGATTAATTTTCAATTTCACCATCATTGAATAAGATTGCCTATGCCAAGTAGAGTTTTAGGGAGATAAGTTGGTAAGATATATCCCGTATTGAGGTTTCCATATCCTGAACCTCCATATCTCCCGCCATATCTCCCGCTCCAGCGCATATCTTCCCGCTTCGAAAAAAAAAGTTTTTTTTTTAAAAATTGAAAAAAAAGAAAAAATGTGAAAAAAAATTTTAAAAATTAAAATTTGAAAAAAATTGAAATTTTTTTAAAAAATTAGAAAAATGTGAGAAAATTGAAAAAATCGAAAGAAAATTAGAAAACTCTACTTGGTATAGGATAAAGCAGTTATGTACGGTCGGTTTGGATATTGGGTTCATCCCTCGTGAGGTATGCACATCTACCTTCGGTCCCTACGGTCCCTCAGGTAGATATGCATATCTCCCTCTGGATAAACCCCATATCCAAAACCTCCCAGTACATAACCCTTATGTATTTCATACCTACTGAGGTTCTAGGTACATAACGAGCGGGAATATATACTGTATCTAACCAAGGCCCTGGGCGGAATGGATACACGCTGTATCCATCCCGGTCCCGCTCCTGAAATTTGTTTTAAATTTTTTTTTAAATGTTTTTCAAATTTTTTTTTCAAATAAAATGTTTCCCATTTTTTCCCAAAAAAAAATTTCACATTCTTTTTCAAATTTTTTTTTTCACAATTTTTTTTCAACTTTTATTTTTTAAAATATGAGTTATATGAGTTTGAAAATCTCAGAAACTAAAAAAAAACACTTTATAACACCAAGAAAATGCGTATCTTAAGTATATTTTTGAATTTTGGAACTTTATAAGGTATGTGACGTACCTAGAACATCAGTAGGTATGAAATACATCTGTTATGTACGGTCGGTTTTGGATACACTTCAGGGTTTATCCCTCGGGAAATATGTGTATATCCCTCGGTCCCTGCGGTCCCTCGGGATATACACATATTACCCTTGGGATAAAACCTGTATCCAAAACCTCCCAGTACATAACCCTTATGTATTTTCAATTCATC